AGAAGAAGAAGAAGAAGAAGAAGAAGAAGAAGAAGAAGAAGAAGAAGCAGCCATCTTTAATGGACAAAAAGTTTTAATTAAGAAAGAAAATAAGAGGGGAAGGAAAATGGAGAATTTAAAATTTAAGAAAACAACCAAGAAAGAGAAAAATAAGGTGAAAAATCGATATAATGTCAGAAAGCAACAGAAAAGAGGAATACAACAGAGAAGGGAAGCTAAAAAGGCGAAGGTTAGGAGATGGGGGGGGTGTAAAAAGGCCAGATCGGAGAAGAAAGGAAGGGAAAAAGGGAAAAAAAGCCACAAAAGCTTGAAACAAGATGCAAAAAAGCAGATCTTTTTCAGAGATAAAGGGTAATGCACAATTAAAAAAAAAGATTCTGCAAAAGTACACAAGATAGTATTGTAGTATTTGAAATAGTAAATTGGAATATTATAAGATTTAAAAATATTTAAACATTAAAATGCTTAATAATGATAGACTTTAACATTTAATAAAATATAAGGGAATGTGTAAAATGTTTAAGGTTTGGCTGTAGAGTTTAATTTGCTATTGTTTAAATGTTATTATAAATCTACTACTTTATTTTCCTATTTTAACATAATGCATTAAGCAGAATTAGAATGGAAATTATATACTTAACTATATTATAAACTTATCATTTTCTTATATTAAAATGTAACATGTAGAATGTACTAAGCAGAATCAGAATGGAAATTATGTATTATTTAAAGTTTCAAATTTAGGGGAAAGATAGAAAGGCGTCATACTTCAAGTAGTGATTACAAGGGAAATTTTCTGTTAAAGAGAAGAGATAAATGGATAATTGAAAAAGAACGGACAAAAGATATAAGTATAATTATTTAAATTAAGATTAAATAAACAAAATATAATTAAGAGAGTGAAAAGAGGGGAGAAGCTATATAGAAAATATAGAATGGTAAATAAGATAAGTAATGGTATATAAGGTGAGCATGAATTTGATTTAGATTTGTTAAAAAAAGATGTAACCCGGGGCTAAGCCACTTTCCAAAAGGATGTTTTATGTTTTGGGTATTTATGTTCGACTGAGAATTAATAAAACCTAGGAGGAATATCACTAAAGGGAGAAACAACGAGAAATTTGGAAAAGGTATGTATGTGTTTAAATGATAATTTGGAACTATGTTGTATAAAACAATGTTTATTTGTTTTCTCAAAACTTATAAGTAGCTTTCAGAAAGGAGGTTTTATGTTTCTATGTTTTATGTTTTGTTGGTCTTTTGAAAATTAATAAAATTTGTTAAAAAAAAGAATAACAGGTTTGAAAGGACCGTGGAGGTCTTCTAGTCCAACCCCACCTCTAGCAGGAATCCCTATACCATTTCAGGTTGTCCAATCTCTTCTTTAAAATGTCCAGCGTTGGAGCACCCACAACTTCTAGAGGCAAGTTGTTCCGCTGATTAATTATTCTAACTTAATTAATTGTTCATGTGGGGTACCACACTCAATTATATGAGCTTTTTTGCTGCATTCAAGCCTGCCCAAGCCTGTTTTTGTTGGGACTGCAAGCAAGCTTTCTTTCTTTTGAAATAGAGCCTGGTCCTACATTGATCGCCATGGGGATGAGTTCCATGATGAGAGAGAAATTGTCTCCATCCTGGGAGACAACCTGCTAGAGGAAGCATTGGAATGGTTTACCCAACTCCATGACCATGATTTTGAATTTTCCTTCTAAGCCAAAACCTAACCAACTCTAAGAAACTGACTGACATGGAGCGTAAGTGGGCAGATTGGGAGAAGGAGGCTTTTGCTTTGTAATGGGCCCTCTTGTCCTAGAGGTACTTTTTGGAAGGAGCTAAGGAGCCATTCGAAGTGTGGACTAATCACAAAAACCTCGAGGCTCTAAAAACTCCTCGAAAACTCCCCCAAGCAAGTTCACTGGGCTCAATACTTTAAGAGATTCAATTTTAAACTGAAATATATTCCGGGGGGGGGGGGGGGGATTTATTGGTCAATGTCTAGAAAACCCCAAATTGACAGTCGCCAAGAGGAAATAGTGCACGCCATGATTTCAGAAGCCCAACCTGCCACCCAAGCAATCACCAGAGCCCAAGCCAAACACCATTCTGAACTCCCTGAGGATAAACCAACAGCTGATTTGAAAGCAGTACTTTTAAACGATCCATGGTTTGCTGAGAATCAAACTGATTTGACAATGAGTGAAGGACTGGCTTGGAAAGGAAACAAGATTTATGTTCCCAGTACCCTGAGATTGATGGTACTAAAGCGCAGTCATGACTCTCATGGACCGTCATCAACTTGTTCTCCAAGCAAGCCCATTTCACAGCATGTAATGGATTACCTTCTGCCAAAAAACTAGCAAAACTGTTTGTGAAGCACATTTATTGACTTCATGGAGTGCCTTGTCGAGTGATCTCAGATCGAGGCATTCAATTTACTGCTAAATTACCTCAGCTTTCCATCCTTCTTGTAATGGAGCATCTGAACGTGCGAACGTCATGGTGGAACAATATATTAGATGTTATGTAAATTATCAGCAAGAAAACTGGGCGGATGTATTGCCGTTTGCAGAAGTGGCTTATAATAATGCAGTACACAGTAGCACTGGCTTGACTCCTTTCCAAATTACTACCGACATAGATTTTGTTCCTATGCCCAAGTTACCTAGAGGACCCCCAACATCCATGTCCTTAATGGATTGGATGGAATCATTAAAGAAAGGTTGGGAAAATACAAAAAAAGCTCTAATGGAAGCAGCTGAAGAATATAAAAAAGAGGCAGAAAAATATACCCATTAACCCCTTGTTGTGTTTTATTTATTGTATTTTTCAGGACGTGATTTTTTTTCTTCGGGGGAGGGCGCCTGTCAGCTTTGGAAGTCATATTAGCACCAGAAGCTTCCATGCTGCCACATTCTTGAGCATGGGAAGATGGGAGGGGAGATTTCATGGAGTGTATGTGGTTAGACATAATAGCATTCTTCTTTAAAGTCAGGGCCATGTTATTCCTGCACTTGGCTGAGGAGTAGTAGAGGGGATGTGTTAAATATGCATTACGCTACATTTACATGAATTTACATTATATGCAGAGTGGAGTCTGACATTGGCAGGAAGATTGAGTCCCGTCAATGGCTGAAGTGTTGGACAGCACCGGCTATAAAAAGCTGGCGCTGACCATGTTTGTTCGCTTTTTGATTCCGGCTTGTAAATAAAGAGTTTCTTGCATTCCTGAGTCCTGCTCCTTCTCATCCGCACCCATTTAACAGAATGTCTCAAGTTGGAACGGATGCTGATTGGGGCATGTGATGGAATGAGGGGTGCAGGGGATGGATTTGTAATTGTTTACTTATCGGAGGAAAACCCAGAACGTTCAGATTCGGGTTTTCCCAGATGTGCCAATATAACTACTCTAATAACAGGAAATTTTGAGAAAATGCCTGTCTCGGAGTTTTTAATTGGAGTTGGGTTTTTCTGGAACGCTGACTGTATCCTTACGATTTATATTGACTGTTTCCTAGTATGATTTGATTGCTTATTTGTACCCTATGACTATCATTAAGCGTTGTACCTTATGATTCTTGATGAATTTATCTTTCCTTTTTTTAAGTACACTGAGAGCATATGCACCAACACAAATTCCTTGTGTGTCTAATCACACTTGACCAATAAAGAATTCATTCATTCATTCATGACAAAGGGGCCC